ATAAGCCAAATATTTATTCTATACTTTTGCTTGGTACATTTGCGGGTTTTTATTTTGCAAAAACTTCACTTGAAATGATTTTTTTTTGAGAATATTTTCTTTTAAAACTTAATATATTTAATAAGTAATTGCTTTAAAAAAATTTAAGTTTTCAGAGGTGGATTTTTTTAGCTTTGTCCACCTATCGACCCACCTATCGGCGCTGTGTGGATACAAGGTAGTTAAATATATCATTAAGTTTTCAGAAAAATGCCATCAGAAGATAAAGTATGCATTGCAATTAACTAGGCATTAAAAGATAAGAAATCAATCAGAGAAAATACGTAAATCAACAAATACCTTATCTGACTCTATATAACAGATTTAAAAAGTTAAGTTTAATTCTTAATCGACGAACAGGTAAATATTTACAATTCAGCAAGAAAAACTCTTATTTGAATATTTGATTAAAAATTGTAAAATCCAATATATAAAAATAAAATTCCACCCAACCGTATTTTCAATGAGACAGGAATATCAAATGTTACTAAACTCCTCGTTCAGTTGCTCCTAAGGGAATGAAGGAGGTAGGACAAGCTGTATTAGCAGAATAAAGAGAAGAGCATTTGAAAGGAAATTCACGCCTCTTTTAATTAAATATTGAGCAAAAATGCTCATTTGTAAGTGATTGATACGGTACTTACGACAGCCATTGCAAACGTGCAACCGAGGTAATGGCGAAAAAAAATTGCAGCATTTTTTTTTATAAGAAAATGTTAAAGGAATTGTATGCAAATATCTAACTTATGTAAATTTTAAACTATGTTATAATAAACCATATATCAAGTTTTACAGAGTAACTTTTACTTAAAAAGTGCAATATTTCCTTAATTATGATTTATAGCATTTATTTTATAAAAGTCTTTTAATTATCCTTTAGACTCCGCCTATTTTTTAAGGTTTGATCACTCATTGCGCAATATTTTTAGCTAAAGTTGTAATTATATTAAAAATAAGATTTTGTTATATTATCGTAATGTCTAAACCATGAAGTAAAATTTTTGTAAAAGGCAGATGTGTATTTTTACATAAGTCATAGAGGTTAACACCATACCTATCATAACATTTATATAGTGTTGGTCTAAAAATATTTTCTTTTTTTTTATAAAAGTAAAGTTTTTTTCAACAAATAGACTTTTTTTTAAAAAAAAATAGGCGGAAAAATATATGTAGATAATAAAGTTAAACCTTTTAACATCCAAAAAAAAAAATTAAAAAAAGCATATTTAACTAGTAAATAAAACAAATATATTAAAAGCAATTATATTTTTTGCTTTGAAAAAAAATGCAGTTTTTGGCATAACTATGAGTAAGAAATTAAGAAATTAAGAAACTTTTTATAAATATTTTAAGATTTTAACCTAAAAATATTTTAAGAAACTAACCATATATCTTGTTACTTGGAAAATATATAGAACAGTAAGAACAGTAAACATTACATATAGAACAGTGAATATATACTGTAAGAACAGTTAATATATACAGTAAGAGTAAATATTTTAAGAAACCAAATATTTTGTTGAAAATATTTTAAGAAACCAAATATCTTGTTTATATTTGTAAATATTTTTAAATTTTATATATTGTAAATATTTTTATATATTGTAAATATTTTTAAAAACCTTTATATATTGTAAATATTTTTAAAAACCAAATATCTTGTTGGAAAATATTTTAAGAAACCAAATATCTTGTTGGAAAATATTTTAAGAAACCAAGTAAGGAAGAATGGTTAAGAGTGAGCTAAAGGTAGGAGTGAATCGTTGACTTTTTTAAGTGCAAAAATGGGTCCCGACAGTCTTGGATTGGAACTAAGAAAGAAAATTATTGACGATTACGTAAGTGGAATGTCACAAAAAAGTATTTGTGATAAATATCGCGTGAAAAAATGGACTGTATCAAGACTATGTTCGAAATATCGTTCTACGGGGAAGTTGGCAGCAGATAACAAAGGTGGAAGACCGCGTTCCACCACTTCTAGAGAGGATTCTAATAGAAAAGTAATAGAAAATGTAATCATTACTTTTTTTGGAAAGTAATGAGTAATGGTGACATTAAATTACCCATTACTTTTATTTTGTCTCCTATTTTTGGAATCTTATTTCTGGGTAATATATTTCTCATGTCATTATTAATAATCCTTATCCAAAGACTTTTACATTAACTTTAGCAATTACAATTATTGTAATTGCTAAAGTTAATGTAACAATCATGTGACAGCTTTCTATTGGATTCAGACCGTACTTTGGCCATGCTCCATCGTCATGAAGCAGTCAAGCATGTTTTTCTTAAATACAACACCACACTGCCATCAAGTGCTCCAGTTGAAAGACTGGAGCACTTGATGGTCAATCATAAGACCCATCTTTTTTCAAAATTCAATTTGGACTTTAACTTTTCTCAGCTAAACAATATTTTTTCTGTCCTAACCTGTCGCTATAATTGGCATCATGTCAGATTAATCGGAGCATTCATTCTAAAAACCTTATCAAAGCATGCAAAGTTAAAAGTTAAATTACACGGAGCGGGCGTGTTCCGTAAGCCCATCAACAGCTAGCCGTGCTAGCTTGTGCGAAATTGAACGGAAGATGATGCGCTGTAGTAATTATTAAAGCTGATCGAATTTTGCTTTGAAGCAATCGGCACTGGTAGCAATGACTACTACGTTAGGTAATGCGTTCCATGGGTGAGCGACGCGGTTGTTGAAGGAATTATAGCGAACGAGGCAGTTGTTGTCCATTTCACGATGAAAACGCTTGCGATGACCGTAGCTAGGTGGGATGTTAGGTGGACCTATATGCCAGCTAATTGAGTCGATACTGTTTTCAAATTTATATTTTTGAATGAGGTCGCTGCGTAAACGTCTATTTAATAGAGAGGTGAGACCGAGTTTGATGCATCTAGTCTCGTAATCGAAGCGCTTTATTTCGTGCGGTACTTTGGTAACCCGATGCTGAACACGTTCTATGACATTTATGTCTTTTTCAAGATGCGGGCACCAGGCAGTAACTGCAAACTCGAGATGTGGGCGTATATAAGTGGTGTAAAGTTTTTTCCATATTTTGGTATCTCTGCTTATAAACGTGTTTTTCAATGTCCCGAGGACTTTATTAGCCCTGGCAGCGGCTATTTGTGCTTGCCTCTCGTATTTTAAGTTGTTGGAAATTTGAACGCCTAGATCTTTTTCGGATGTTGAAGACTCGATTACTGTTCTAGTGACGCTACCGTTAGCGTCGTACTCGTTCATTAAATAAATGTGTGGGGAAACATTGTACTTACTGAAATGCATAACTTTGCATTTCTTGATGTTGAGTTCCATTAACCAGATTCGAGTCCAGGTAACAACGCTATCTATATTGGATTGCAGATGAGCTTTGTCTTCAGTTGTTTTGACGACACTCGGGATTTTAGTATCGTCTGCATACATTTTACATAAGTTTTCGCTATTGATGTGTTCGGGTAAGTCATTAATAAATATTATGAACAGCGTAGGACCTAGCACTGAACTTGCGGAACGCCACTGGTAACCTTTACCCAGGTGGATGACGTATTACCTAATATGACACGCTGTGATCTATTTGAAAGGAAAGCTTTTATCCAGTTAAGAACGTTACCTTCGATTCCGTAGGATTCAAGTTTTTGAAGTAATCTTCTGTGAGGGACTTTATCGAAGGCTTTGGCGAAGTCAAGAAAAAGAACATCTACAGGAAGCTTGCGAGAAACGTTGTAGGTCAGAAAGTCCATGGCCTCAAGCAGATTCGTGACGCAGGTTTTTTTATTGACGAAGCCGTGCTGGCAATCGGCAATAAGTTTATGAGCTACAAGGTGCTGCATGATCTTTTCTTTTAATTTTCAAAATAATGGAAAAAACATTTTTTTCCATTATTTTGCATGGTACTGAAGTGATGAAGATAGGCCTATAGTTTTCTGGGTCGAGTCTGGAGCCTTTTTTGAACAGTGGCGTCACGTTTGCCGAGAGCCACGCTTTTGAGACTACACCTTGATCCATCGATTTCTGAAAAATGATGGCAAGCGGGGTAGCCGCCGCATCAGCGGATGCTTTAAGTACAAATGGACTGATACCGTCACCTCCAGTTGATTTATTGGCGTTGAGAGCAGATAGGTGTTTGTGAACGGAATCATAGCTGAAGATCACGGAGGAGATTAAGGCGGTTGTACGTTTAACAAAGGGAGGTAGTTGTTGATCTGATGGTTCGATTGTGAATACTGACTGGAACTGGCTGTTAAGTATATTGGCTATGAATGCGTGGTCGCTACTTATTTCCCCAGCGGGTAAGCACATAGAAGTTATCTGGTTACTGACGGCGCTTTTGTTGTTTACATAAGCGTATAGACGCTTAGGGTTCCATTTGTCGCCAGCTAATTTGTGTTCAAATGCTCTAATTGCAGTGCAGGAAGTTTTTTTGACAAGGTTTTGAGTTTGGTTATACTCTTTGACAAGAGGAATGATTCGCCATTTGCTGTTGCGGTTGAGGTACCAAAGTTTTTTTCTTACGTTTAATTAGTAAAAAAAGTTCGCTGGTTAGCCAAGGCTGCCTGTGTTTGGCCGGTTTAGAGGTAACACGCGGAATAAATTTGTCACATAATTTGATATAGTTGTCGCAAAATATTTGATAACATTCGTCGGCATATCGGTCTTTAAATAAACTAACCCAATCAACTTGGGAGAGTTTCTCGTTTAGATTCGTGTAATTACCTCTCCTGTATATAAATTTTAAGATGTTAAAACGGGGAGAGTTGCAGACGTTTTTGGCTAGCTGGTGTTGCCATGTCATAGTGCAGTGACCTTGCGAGGCTCTACCAAGAGGAGGACCGATAGTAATACTAATTGATAAAACTAAACTGAAACGAGAATACTCAATCAAATTTTTAGGCGTAATTCTTAATGAACATCTTAGCTGGAGTAATCATATCAAAGTAATAGAAAATAAGGTATCAAAAATTATTGGTATTATGTATAAAACAAAACATCTCCTAAACACAAATTGTTTAAAAAATATTTATTTTGCATTTATTCATAGCTACATCAGCTACTGCAACATTATCTGGGCAAGTACTTATCCTTCAAAGTTAAATATGATCTACAAAATACAAAAACGAGCAATTCGCTTGATATTAAATGCAAATAAATACGCTAGTGCCAGACCACTACTAAGAGAAATTGGAGTGCCTAATGTCTATGAAATAAATATTCTTAATATACTTATTTTCATGTTTAAGTTTAAAAATGGTATGCTACCAAGCATTTTCCAAACTTATTTTTTTTCTTTAAACCACAAATACGAAACTAAATACTCAACAAATAATTTTATTATACCAAAAACATTATCAAAACAAGCTGATTTTTCGATATCTTGCCGAGGGCCGCGGTTATGGAACTTGCTTTTAACAAGTAATATAAAAACTTTAAATTCAACTCAACATTTTAAACGTGCAACAAAACAACACTTATTTGGTTTTGACACAAAGCAATTACTATCGCATTATTAACAACTTTTGGTAATCTTAGTTATTTAATGTCTTATAAATTGACTCAACATCACAATTATATTGTATGGTACTTAGAACATGTAAGATATTATTTTATTTTACAATAATAACGTAATTTGTAAATGCAATATTTATTATATCTTACGCAATTTGTAGATGGAATGTAATACAGATTTATTTGATTTGTATGTATATATGAACGGACATATATTTGTGTGTACGTGTGCGTATGTGTGTGTGCGTGCGTATATAATAAAAATAAAAGTAGAATAAAATAGAGAATTAAAAAAAAAAATAATAATGAGAAGAAATAATTAATATTTTTTTTTTTTTTTTTTTCTCTTTCTGTAAATAATAATTTGATTTTTAAGTTCTTTTCTCCTTAAAATCAGTATTTAGTTTCTTTTTTCCTTTTTCATTTTTATCGGCTGAATTTTTTAGTTATATTAACGGGGCTGGATGATAAGATCATGTCTTCTGCCAGCTCCGGTCGAAACTTTAATGTTGTAATTTTTATGTTGTAAAAAAACATTGTAAAAGATTATTCATTTAATGACGAAATAAATAAATTAAAAAAAAAAAAAAAAAAAAAAATATGGGTTAATCGTTCGGTTGTTTCGGTAATTACAAGGTCTAGTGTGTTTTTGAACAGACCGTTGGCTTGGATGAAGGTGGGAGTGATAACGTGCTGGTGTAGATGTAGGTCAAAAATGGTTTTGGCAAATTTAGTGTCAAAACTAGTTTCAGCGCCGGTGGTATTGGTCCAGTCGTCGTGCCATATGACGTCGGGAAAGTCGAAGTCACCGGTGATTATTAGACCATTAAACTTTTTGTTTTCTACGGCCGATTTCGCGTAGGAGATAGCTTTTACTATTTCGTTAAAGGCCAGAGCATTATTGGTAGGTGGGCGATAGATGCAGCCGATTAGGAGAGATTCTTGTGGGAGTTTAAGTTCGAGCCAGATCTATTCTGAGTAATTGCATTGGAAACCGATGTGAAGTTGAGAGTAGTCAATTTCGTTGGCAATAATGCTGTTCTTGACATATATGGCTACTCCTCCTCCACGACTAGAGCAATCTTTTCTAAAGAGATTGTAGTTGGGAATAGCTGGTGCTGAGGATTCGTTAAACCATGTTTCAGTGATAAAAATGGTGTCATAATCATAGAGGGACGTTGCTAATTTAAGTTCGGTGAGTTTATTAGGATTTGGAGATGTGGCGTTTGCATAGAAGCAGTTTAGTAACAATTTAGAAGCGTTGCTTTGTGAAGTGGGAGAAGACAAATTTTTAATTATATGAAAACGGTCATGAGTTGAATGTTGCAACTTCTCATTGGTTGGTTTGGGCCGCCGCGAGCGCTCTATTCCAGTTGATGAACGGGTGTTTTTCCAAGCCATTGATGTTGACTTTTTTGCTAACGTCGATGCATTTGACTCTGTCGCTGCGGATGACAAAACGAAAGGGCTGATCAAGTCTACCGTTTGCTTTAAGGCCATTGTTGAGCTTAAACTTTTCGTTGTTCAACTTGTTAAAAACATCTTGCTCTGAAGGAGTTCTGTCTGGCCGTATGAAGACACTTTTGTATGATTCATTGGTGGCAAGGTTTTTTGCGATTCCTAGAAGACCGTTGCGAGTTTCATTGGTTGGGAATTCGATGATAAGAGACGGTCGAGCTGGTTGAGCGGGGGCAGTGACAGTAGAAGAAGTAGATATGCTAGTGTTTGGCGGCGATTTGTTATTTTTGTTAGAGATAGCGGCAGGAATGCGTCCTACAACTTTGAAGGAAGCAGAGTAATGTACGTATTGTAATATATCCTTTACCGATTGATCGACGACGGAAGCATCGGTACTGGCTGCGTTGGGAATTCTGGTGATTATGGCTCTCTTAGCTTTTGACTGTTGAAGCTTGGCGTTTATGTTCACGGCATTTAAGATGGCATTGTTTGTGGCTGATCCGGGTTTGGTAAGTTGCGAAGCAAAAGATTTTAGGATTGGTTGAGAAACGGAAGGATAAACTGCCGGTGGTTGGCAGTTAGTGAGTTGAATTTGCCAGTTGGTATTGGTTTATTCGAGGGCTGCTACTTTTTCAAGCAGTAATTTGACTGTTGTAGCTAGAGAGCGGATCATGGCGTCACATCTTTTAGGTAAATAAGTAGCCTTGCCTTTTCCAGGACTCGGCCAATTTTCAAGCAGGTCTATTGGGTTTAAAGAAGGTGAAATGGACGATGTTTCATACAATTCGTTGGCGAACATTTTAGAATGTTGAGGATCTAATAAGATGACTGAATATTGGATTTGAGGTTTATGCTTCGAATAAGTGTTGTGGTTGGATAACAAATTTGGTTATTAAGTTGGTGGATAGTTGAAAGGATATTTTATATATAATTTTTGTATATATATAAACAATACTTATATGTATTTATATATAACAACAGTTTTTCCGTATATATAATTATATATATAAGTTGAAACGCCATGTCTGACATTGTCTTCTAATATTTTTGAATTACTAAAGATTTTTAATTTTCATTCGAGATGCCACACATTCTGAACAACATTGGTTATTGAGTTGGTTGCTATGGAAGTAATAGTTTGAATTTTTTCCATTTATGATTGTTAAATTTACAATATATTGTACTTTAACTTCCTTCATTATACCATCCTTCAATAGAACAGGTACAACAGATAATGTTATATTTATAATAGAAGCTATAATTAAGTCATATTCTACAAGAATTATTTCTTTTAATATTTTTTTATATGTAAATTTGAGAGACCTGCTGTAACTATTTGACGAGGGTGTAGGATTTCTCCAAACAACCTGTTTTTCGTCATTTTAGGCATTTCTTGATGAAAATGACTGGTCTGCTTGTGAATATGGTGGTCTGCTTTATTATATAGAGGTGAGATGGCTTTCTAGAGTAAATATGCTGAAAACTTTTGATTTGTGACAAAAGATAATAAGTTTTTTACAAAAATATAAGCAGAAGTTATTCACAAGAGCTTGAAGACCTGACCCAAAATTAAAAAATACTTAAAAAGCTGCAACTACCTCAAATTTAACCATTTTACACTAAAACAATCAAAAAACTTTTGCCCTTTCTATTACCAAAAAAAAAAAAAAGAAAGAAAAGGAAAAATTAGTATAGAAAGTGAAGAAGTTGTGGAATATATTTTAATTCAAGTAAATAACAATGGAGAGTCTGAATCATTTAGCATTAATAAGGTTGATAAAAATTCACATATAAAAGATTTAAAAGCAAAATTGAAGAAACTATAAAAAAAATTTTAATCTTTTTCAAAAGAAAAAGATAAACATTTTTAAGAACAAAAGCAATAATAAATGCAAAAAAATAAAAATTTAAAAATAAGAAAACTTAGAACAATATTTGAAGAAATTTTATTGTTAAGCAGAAATAATGTGAAATTTATGTAGTTGTATTTTGTATTTAATTATTATTCATTTTTAATATGTTTATATGGTTTTGAAAGTGAATACATTTGAGGTTTTTTATATGATATAAATTATTGATTTGTTTTGTAAAAAGAAAGGTTAGGTAGATGTTAATTGTAAAATGATGTAAAAATGTAATGTAAAATGTGTAAATGTAGATGTAAAAATGTGATTAATTTCTCGTTGTGTTTCTCGTTGCGATAAAACTACAATTCATTAATTGGTCAAATAAAATTATAAATGCATTAGACCTCAAACTTACATGTGGTAAAAGTGGTTTAGAAAACTCGCTTCGTTTCCATGACCATCTTACGTACTCTACAACGAAGATTAGAAAATCTAAAATTTCAAAATAGTATTTTTATTGAAGTCTTAATATTTATGAAAACTAAAATGAATTTCATAAAAATTCATGAAAAAGAGTGTGCTTTAATTCTTGATAGTATCACAGTAGTACACTTTGTGATAACTATCTTAGATCACAGTAGTACACTTTGTTTGTACACTTAGTTAGTACTTAGATAATACACTTTCAATAAATGAAAATGTTAAATCATCTATAAACATCTGCAAGCTCATACTATGGAAATATTAGATCATTAATGCTAATCTACCATGCTTTAGTTTTTATGGTTGGAGGAATATCTTCAAGACTGAAAGCAAAACAAAAAACTAAAGCATGTAATCATACTGGAAGTTCTATTAATGAATTGTACTAAAGAAATAATAATAAAAACTTAGTTGTGTTACTTCTGATATGGGCTCCATCAACCAGGCAATATGAAGATCTTTTGATATTAACTATACAAAAGATATTTCTAGTTCAATGAAACACCTGCCCAGTTAGCATCCATAACGTTGGCTAACGTCGGAACAACGTCAGAAACATTGAGCTTTTTTTTTTTTAACTACGCGCTTACGTCGAACCAACGTCGGGCTAACGTCTAAATACAACTGATTTTAAAAAGTTTATAGTGTGTTTCAGGTTTTAGTTGTCGGACATTTTGAATAGCTGTTTTATTTTTATTTTAGCGCTATGTTTTTATTTAAAAAATTGTAGATAAAAAATGTACATAAATGTATATTTATGTACGTATTCATAAATGTTTATTTATGAATACGTACATAAATATTATTATTTATGTACATATTGTTTATTATTTATGTACATATTGTTTAACTTGTTTTGAACAGCTGCCGTGCAAGTGAAATACCTTGTCAAGGTACTTCACTTGCACGGCAGCTGTTCAGAACAAGTTAAACAATATGCTGCCGTGCAAGTGAAGTACCTTGTCAAGGTACTTCACTTGCACGGCAGTTGTTCAAAACAAGTTAAACAATATGTACATAAATAAACAAGTGCCTTGAAGCAAATGTTGAAGTTATTGAATTCAATAATTGCTTCATGAGACTTAATGATTAAGTCTCATGAAGCAATTATTGAATTCAATAACTGCAACATTTGTTTCAAGGTCCTTGAAACAAATGTTGCCAATAAATACCTTTAAAAATATTTTGGCCTGATTTGTACAGCTTGCGGTATAATAATATTTAATGCATTAAACAATTCCATATTTAGAATAAAAGAGAAATTCAAGTACCCATTATGGGTATCTGCTGGTGGAACTGATGCCGTACACAGGAGTAATATTACTGATGCCATTACTCCATCATTTCATCTGACTAACATTGAGGTAACTCAAACACCTTCTAATGTTGTTAATGTTGCATCTGGTGTTTTTACGAGTCAAACATCACTTGAGTCTTTTTTGCTCCAACATAGCAAGTCTAAGCAGCATATGCTGCGTTTAAAAACTGTTGGGTATAATATTACTGAAAGAATCTCCATCACCTATGTCACAGCTAAAGTTATTGACTAAAGTTATTTAAATTTAAAGTTATTGCTAAAGTTATTGACTTGTATGGTTTTAAGTGTATTACTTTTAAGAATCACTGGTCTAAAAACAGAAAAATTTTTCAAGTCAAAAATCTCATAAAGTTTTTTTGGCTATATGCATTGAAAATGCTCGCAGTAAACTTAATTGCAATTTAAAAACGTTGGATGTGATCTCCAAAACATGAACGAGGGGAACAAAATAGAAAAAGAATTTTTGATGAAATTAGTACGCTAGAAATCTAAAAAAAAGGTGTGTTCACAGAGAACGATTTTGCATTTGTTGGTTGCTATAGAAGATTGGAAGTATGTGAATTTTGCCAAGGTATCATGTTTTTAGACACTCTCTACTTTTTTCATAGTAAATGTGGTTCAAATGATTATCATTAATCCAAGTATAAAATCATGTTTTTATGCTTTTTATCTTTTATTTTAATGAATTAACAGGTGCTGTTGTTAAAACTGAAATTTTAAAACTGGCATCATTGTCAGCGATAGTATTTTCTGAAAACTTGCTAATTGCCGCAAAGAAAACATTTTGCTACAGACGGAAAAAAATAGAGCAAAGACATCCGTCATATCTTAAATATACTTAGCAGATGCCATATCATTTTTTACTACCACAACTGGTATGTATAAACCACTATTTTTAATTTAAATTATAATTGTAACTTTGTTCTATTTACCCAACAACACTTTACCATGTGATAAAATACATTGGTACCGTTTGATAACTTGCATATATTGGACAATAATTTTTCTTACGTTAGGCAACTTAACAACAATTAGTTAGCGGAAAACTTACATTTGGCAAAATTGTGATGTATGCTATTTTATCTTATCCATTGCTATGCTTATGAATGATTTTGTGTTTAGTTGCTGCAAGATTTTAGACACATGCATCCTGATGCAGCTGATTGTTTTATCATGCGCATGTTGACATTGGTTCCGTCTATTCTTGCCTACTGTTTGAACTCGACATTAGAGTACCTACAAAAATGTACCAAAGGGGCGGCTATTGGGGGGTCAAGTTTGTTTTTTCTAAAATATTTAATTTCAATAACATCTTTTTTTTTATTACAATAAAAATTAATTCATTTAATAATATTAAAACTTTTATGGTTTGGGTTTCCATTTTAAAGCATTACAAATCATTCTTAATGGGCATCCAACCAGTTCTTGTATTTGCTTGTAGGTTTTACCATGATATTTAAGATTTATAATTAAAATACGAACTTTTTCAGTCAATGCTTAGAGCGCCCCATTTTTCTCTAAAATTTCAATATTTTAGTAAGTGTATAAATTTATTTAATATTAAAATTAATTACTTCCTTATTGCTTATTATTAAGAACTAATAATAAATAGAATTTAATAAGTACAGCAATTATTACACAAGATTAATTTTTCACTACTATTTTATTGCACAGTCTAAAAAAAAATACGAATGACCTTAAATCGATAATATTGAAATTTAAAACCATACAGTGCTGCAAATATCTTTCTTAAATTTTTTTTATTCTATTATAATAACAACATTTAGTTTATAAACAATAACGATAAAAAACAATAGAAAAATATATTTTGATGTTCAAAGTTTGTTGATAGAAAAATAAAATACGCACTACTATTTGACTGCACACGATTGTTTATCAAGTTTGGTTGAGTTTTTATAGGAAATGTTTTTATTTAATTGATCTAAAAGAATAACTGTTGCTTCTTTTAATGGTATTGATGGATATAAATTTACAATAACAAGAGATACTTGTAACTCGTCCTTATCGATAGTCCAGGCTTTAGTTTTGTTGATGAAATGATTGGAATTTTTTAACCTTATTGGATTTTCATTCAAAAGTGGTTGTATTTTTTCAACCAAGTACTTTAAAATTCCATAGCTAGGTGTGCCAATTGTTGATACTACAACTCTCATTGGGTACAATTTACCGGGTTTATGAGCCTTGATAAGACCACATAAACGAGGTGGTACGGGATCACTAGGGTAAATGCTATCATATTCTGCTTTTAAAAACCGCTGTTTTTTATAAGTTTGCGATAGGAACGACCTTATTTAAGCTGCATAACTAAGAGTACACGCTTAAAAATAGTGTTGAGCCGTAGGCTACATTATGTCTCGTAGAATACAACAATGAGTGTCGACGCCGGCTACACCAACACTATGTGGCTTTAAAAGCCACACTCAGTGTTGCATTCGTAAGGCTACATAAAATGTAGACTTGAAAGTCACACTTTCTGGCCTTTAATGCGACACTTTTGTAGAAATTTTTTCGACATAATTGTTGCATTTAATCAATGGCTGTATATATATGCTCTTTTTGCGCGACAAAACTGTTGTAAAAAAACCTCAAAATTAGTGTTGCGCTAAATGTAACACTATAGTTTAAACACTAATCTGTGTTTTTCTAGACGTTAAAAATGTTTTGATTTTTTGTAAGTATATTTATGCGTGATTTATTCCGCCCATTTAGGTCTTCATGTACTATGTATATAACCGGACGCAATTAAATAATTCAAATAAAGAATGCTATTTATATCATATAATAAATTACACATTGTCATTTAGAGTCATATACTAAATTACACATGTATATTATATTGGCTTACAAGAAATAACGGAACGATATCACAATAAAATAATAAAAACTGAAATATAAATTTTATTTTAATTCCGAGTCAATGCATTGTTATAGTATTTCTTTTAAGTATATAAACTCAGTTAAAACTCAAACTCAATTCAGTGAATATTAAATTAAAAACAAGTCTTAAAACATTTATATGCAAAAGCGAGTTAAAACTTTGAAAAATAGATACCGCCGTCAGAGAAGAACCGTATATCAACATTTTGTGTTTTTTTTTTGTCCATTATCAATAAATATTCAGGAGTGTGTGTTTCATAAATATACCACAACAATAAAATTTTAGGAAATATTTAAATAATCAGTCGAATTTTCTGGAAGAAAGACTTTGCAAATTAAAATTTGAAACTTGATTTTCTTGGAAACACAAAAAAAAGACATACGGTCTCTTGGTTCTCGGCTGACGATATAACAAAAATAAACAAGAAAGTGATAAAAATACTTTTTCGTTTCACAAACATATTGCTTAATTTAATCTTAAACTTTTGACAATACTTTCTTTAAAAGGAATTGACGATAATTCTTTTGTTGTTTATTCCAAGCAAATTTCCCATAAATCCATATACACAAATAAGTTCATGAGGAAAATTGACATTAAATACATAAGAGACTAGCAGCAACTCAAAAGCAAATCCAATACTCGGTATGGCTTCCAACCGTATAGCTGTATTATCGACTTATAATTATAGTTATAATTTAAATTATAAATAGAGTGCTGCAACACTTGAATAAAATCAGTAGAAAAACTTTCTCCTTCTTCAATAACTCAAGGGAGCTTTCAAGACTGAGGTGTACCTAAATGTTTAAGGAAAATTTTAAAAATGCAGAAAATTCAAAGCTCAAAAAAGTAATACTTTTTGATTATAAACCAAATTTAACTTTAAAAAAAAATGCATAGAAAAAACTTATATCCATTTCTCTATAAAATAAAGCCAAATTCTTGGACTCTTCTTGCCTTTCTGTGGAGGTGCTATCATAAGAAAAGGGAGCGCCTTAAATGCAAGCAAAGTTGCATCTTCTAAATAAAAATAAAAATAAATCAGGGAACAACTTGTATATACTTATAAACCTTTATAGGTAGATTATAAAAAAACATTCTTTTGGATTAAAAGGGTACATTACATAAGGAACTAATAAATGAAATAAGATGAGAAAGAGAAACTTGCAGATTGGCACATAGTCAAGTTGCAGCAGCTTAGTACTTATGCAGACTGACAATTATGTTGTAAAATTTCTTATTTTATAAAGTTCTTATTTATTCATTCTCCCCACTTAGGGTAGTAGACATATATATACCTCTATTATATTAGTCTTCTGACAAAGTATTTTTGAACATTGAATCTCTTGCTAGTAACAGAATGTTTTGTTTGCAAGTGTTAAAGCCATCATGCAATGTAATATTACTTGATACCTCTTCAATGAAATGAAACTATCTTTGAAATTCCCTCATTAATTTCATATCTAGGAGGGCCCATGTTGCAAGTTTCAGAAGTTACAAAAAGAGAATTTTTTTCTAAGTGTTTATCTTGTTTATATAATGTGTCAAGAAACTTGAGTGGCTCATTGCAATGTATAACACTACTTTAAAACTTACTCTTAAACAATAATAGAGTGGAATCTGCTCTAATGTCATTGAAAACTGATAAAGCAGCATTACCAATATCATCGCTCAAAATAACAACCGATAAATGATCAGCAATGTTTGAAGAAATTTCAAAAAATTCAAGGAAAACCTTTTTTTGTGAAATAATTGCATTTGATTGGCAAGCTTTGAAAAACTATTTGAGCGCTGCAATATAGGAAACTAATGATTATGAAACTACTGTTAACAGAAACAATTACTTCAGGTATAATGTAATAAGGAACACTGCTGCTTGTTCACAATGAAGAAACTAACAAAGGATTAATATATTCTATTGTTTTTTCAGGATAAGTGTAAACTTGATAAGTAGAATTCTCTGGGAAACTAGGCAATGAATATTCTGAAAAATTAGGCAATAAATTGTTACGATTATCATTTAATGGATTACTATATATTTTGGCTCAGGATTTTTATCAATGAAATCATTATCAATATTATGGTAACATTTTACATGTCTAATTAGCAACATATAAGCTGTACATGTACATTTACAGCCATTCTGTAAACATCTAATTGGATAAACAATTTCGGCAATACTATTATGACGTTGTAGATGATTTTGAAAAAAAATCAATAGTTACGTAAAAGTACCACATATATAGCAAATAAACATTTTAATAACTTTTATCAGAAAAAAAAAAAAAATTTATATATATATATATATATATATATATATATATATATATATATATATATATATATATATATATATATATATATATATATATATATATATATATATATATATATATATATATATATATATATATATATATTTATATATATACACAATATATACATATTATAGCACTATAAATCATAGTTGCAATTGTGCATTTTTTGCATATATTAATATAATTTTATTAGAGTGCTTTCATAGGTATGATGAAATTATTTAATACATTATTTCAACATGCAGCATGACTAAAAATCATAATCTTAACTAATAAAAATCATTATTGAATGATATATCATGCAATAATGATTTTTATTAACTATCTCTGCAAAAAAAAAAGATATGTACATAATGTAAAGTATACCTTTATGGTATACATATATATCTAGTTGTTAACATATGATAACTAAAATAGTTGTTGTTAATATAACTAAAATGCTGCTATTTTAACTAAAATAACACTATTATCATATTTATTTGATAATATTTATGTATTAAATATTTTCCATTTTGTTATAACATAAAAAAATTAACTTTAACAACATTAACATTAACGTTTAACGTTAACAATATTATTTAACAACATTATTTACATTTATGTTAACAAATTACTTGTATTATGTTAACAGATTACCAGTTAACTGGTAATGTCATGTGATTTTATTTAAACCTATATTTTACACATTTTTTTTAGACTAATGTTATTTTATATAATTAATGTTATTATGTTATAATTTTTATAACTTCATAATAATGTTGTTAACGTAACTAAAATAATTGTATTAACATTTTAATACAATATATATAAAATAATAACATTAGTCTAATTAAATAAAGTCACACAACTAATTCATGTAGTAATGTACTACAAACCGAAGGCCTTACCTAATTTTTAACAACTGAAAATCGATATTTTCCTCGCTTAACATATTTAATACGATATTACTAAAATATTACAAACCAAAATTTTTTTATGAAAAAGTTAACTATGTATGTGTTTAAAATTACCCTGCAGCAATAAAAGTTACACTAAAATTTTTAATAAAACTGAAAATGGTTCTTAAAAAAAAACATGTCGCTAAAAACATGATTCTAGCCTCCTTTCCGAATAATTCGATACGAGAATCCAACAAAGTGTGGCTTTTTTTACGCATATAATGAAGTTTAATTTCATAATTACAAGTGTGGCTTTAAAGCGCACAAGTGTAGCCTTGAAGTACACAAATTGTGTAGCCAAAAAGACACTACACTAAGTGTCGTGTTTTTTGTCCACACTATTTTTAAGCGTGTAGGATCTTTATTAATAATTTTAGTTGAGCCAATCTGTTTGCGAATTTTTTCTATATTATATATTTATTCTAAATTATATTTTTCTATAATATAATTTTTTATATAGAGAAAGGTGTAAGAGTGGGCTACAAATTTATAGCTTTAACCAACAGGGCGTATTCAGGGGGCTAGAGGGGGCACCGATTCAAATTATATATATATATATATATATATTATATATATATATATATATATATATATATATAGATATATATATATATATATATATATATATATATATATATATATATATATATATATATATATATATATATATATATATATATGCAGGATTTTTTGTGGATGTTGCCTGTTTTTTTTTGAGTTGCCAAAATAGTTTGCGATATTTTTTTTGTAAACCCCTTCCCTGGGCTATCGGGGGGGGGGGAGAATTTAAACCGGCATCAGTACTTTATTATTACTTACCGGGCATTGTTTTCAATTATCCATGTAAAACAAAACTAACAACAGTGTTGCCTTGGCTATTCTGTTCATAAATAAGACAAATTTTACTTGTCTAATCTATTTAACGAAGCCCACCAATGAGAAGGTAAGCCATAGGACTTTGCACTCCATTTGTAAACTGTCATGTGGCCTCAGGTTAGCCCTCCATTTCTGTATTCTTTCTTTTTCTTGATAGGCAGTTAGTGTAAAGTAACTGTATTGTTGCCTTAGGTTAGCCCTCCATTTCTGGATTCTTACCTTTTCTTGATACGCAGTTAATGTAAATTATTAATATTATTACCTTAGGTTAGCCATCCATTTCTGGATTCTTCCCCTTTCTTGATAGGCAGTTTATGTAAAGTATTAATATGGTTGCCTTAGGTTAGCCCTCCATTTCTGGATTCTTTCCTTTACTTAATAAGCAGTTAGACCAAAGTTTTTTTTAAAGTTTTTTTTTTAATTTTTTATTTTGTTTTTTCTAATTTTCATTAAATATAAAATAAACTTAAATATAAAATAAACTAAAAACAAGAATATAGCCAATAAACAAAAAAGAAATTATTAAACCAATATTAGGTAAAAACCAACTCTAAGCATTGTTCCCCTAAAACAGAAAAAATATTCAAAACTCTTTCTACATCAGGAATTATTTCTTGATGAATAGACATCAGAGCTAAAGAATTAAATCTTGACTCTGTCATGCGGCTTTGCATATAAGTTTTCAGTCTGCGTATAACAGAAATGCTCCTCTCGCATTCACATGTAGTAATTGGAATTGTTCCCATTATTAAAAAACCTTCCCTAATGTTTGGGAAACCCTTCATATCAATAGATTTTAAAGTCTTTGTAATAGTGGATGGAATTACAGATTGATTGTTCCAAAATGTTTCCCACAAATCTAATTCAGCATGAATTGATGTAGGATGAGGCATATTTGATATATAAAAATGCAAAAATTCCATAAAATCTAACTTCCAAAAACATTTTTCTTTATTTTTTTTTACAACAGTTGCAGGAATACCAGATAAACCTTTGTAAACAACCATATCACCTTCATCAAATCTTTCTTCTAATTCATTAATTAAATGATCTAGAAGAGGAGATGTGATGAAATAATCTGTGTCAGAGAGATAAATATCTATATAAAGTTGTCTGCCACAGAGCCTTGGTTTAACTTTGGAAACATCAAGAGCCTTAGCTAGATCAAGAGCAATTAAGTACCATTTGTTATGATAGACATCCATATTTTTTTTTAAATCTAAAATTTGAGTTTTTAAACAATTTATTTCATTACACTGTTGTGATATATCAAACGCTTTAGTTTGAAGAACAACAGTGATGGCATAGAAATAGTCCATTATTTGTTTGGTTAAAGCTAAAGTTACAATAAAAGAAAAATTATTCATAAGATTTAAAAAACATGAAGCTTTTAAAGAAGTATCAGTATTATAACTCTTACCTTCATTGCATGCCATTTCTTCCATTGAATGAAAACGGATATGTAGTTATCAAAAAAAAACATCTAGACCTTTAAGTTTCTGAACCCATCTAGTTCGACAAGTATCGATTAATTTTGCTTGACCAGGAAAAAAAAAATTGAGAAAGCTTGCACGTTTAGGTGATAAGTTAAAAAAATATGATATATCTTTGATTTGATCAGGAACATTTCTAACACTTGAACATTGCATGATTTATTTACAACTAAATTAAGTTTATGGCATGCACAGTGAACAAAAATAGCCTTTGAATAGATAAATTTAATTCTTAATGAAATACCTTTTAATTTACCAGACATTGACCCAGCACCATCATATCCTTGACCTCTACATTTTTGGATATCAAGACCATAATCATCAATTATGTTTTAAGCAAGACTAAGACCAGTTGTACCAGATTTACATTCAATGAACCGTAGAAAATCTTCACAAATAACATTATTACAGTTAATGTATCTTATAACTAGAGATAGCTGTTCAACATTAGAACAATCAAAGGCTCCATCACACAAGATAGAAAAATAACCTGACTTTTTAACTTTATTAATTAGAACTTCTTCGATTGTTTTTCCACACCATTCAATAAGTTCGTTTTGTGTTGTTTTTGAACTTAATTTCAATGTAGGTATCTTTATTTAACCATCTATGAACATGCCTACAAATATTATTAATTACAAACAATTAAAATCAATGAAATAAATTACAAGGAAAATTACAAGGAAATTGTTCTTACATAATTCTTTCCTTTGAAAGAAATAATTATTTAAATTAATAATACTTTTCATACTTATTGATAATTTAGATGAGATTTTATTTGATGACACAATTCTACAAATATTTTTACGGCTCTTCAAAGAACTAATCTCTCTTTCATAAGATTTTCCTCTGACTGGCCCTCCAAACTTTTTATTTGTCAATTATTTTAGTTATCTTATCTAAATAGAAAATCAATATTTTGGTCTATAAAATGAAAATGGTAGTTGTAGAAATAAATCAATTTTAACAAAAAATGTTGGCATTAGATAGTCGAACACTTATGTAACCTTTATTTTGAAAGTAGTGATCGAAAATCACAGTAGTCTGTAACATTTTAAGATAAAAGTAGAAAAAAACTAACAATATAAATTAAATCCTTAACCAGTTAAACAATCAGACTGAAATTTTATATTTAATATATATTAAAAACCGAGGTTTTGGGTAAAAAAATGCGGTATACGCGGTTTGCCGCAACTTTTGACCGGTTATTCCGATTGACTCAAAAACATCTTCAATCGAATCCTCGATCCCAAATACCCTCTAGTAGACAATCATTTTAGCCTAAAAACTTATGATTTTAATAATTTACAAAGATTGATATTTTTGCTATACTTTGTTGTAATATATTGTGTTTTTACAAAAAAATATTTTATTTAAACTTGAATTTATTTAATAAGTTATATGAAATAATTTCAGAAATATCATTTATAAGATGATGCATTTGAAATTCTGCATTTGAGGTGACACGTTAAGTTCACTATAAATATTGTTTATAAACTAGTATAAATTTTGAGTTCTTTATTGATGGCTAAACGAACACGTAAAAATAGTCAAAGTTGGAAATTAAGTGTTATGATTGGTTTTGAAAGTGAACTTTTAAATTCTGAGTTACCAACATTAAGAGATGTTATTAAATACGGTCGGCTTCTAAGAAGAGATAATATCTGTAAAGTAATGGTTGAAAGCAAATCCTTTTTTTTTTTTTTTTTACTACATTTTAAATAAGCATTTTGCTAAATTATTTAAAATACAAATAAATAATACTAAATATATATATATATATAATGATCGTTATTAAATAATAAAGAAACGCGGTGACTCGTAGAAGACTATACGGTCTTGTCGTCGAGTACCGCTGAGAAATGTTTGTGTTAAAATTCATAATTTATTTACAAGATAAAAAATAAGTAACGAAGTAAAAAAATTAAAATATCTCGCTCATATAAAGCTCATATAAATTAAAAACATTCATTTCAAATAATAAAGGCTTGGCATGAGTATAACGGCCTTAAAAATATATAAGACGTGCTACATGCTTTTGCTGACAATTAAAAGGTTTAAGTTTATTTTTATTTGTACTACCCCAAGCAATATTTGCATAGTTTATGTGACAATGAATAAATGAGCGATATAATTGTACTAAAGTATGTCTATTTAAAACATTTCTTGCTTTGTACAATATTCCTATACTTTTTGAAATTTTTCTTAAAATGTTTTTAATGTGATTTTTCCATGTAAGATTTTCATCTATACAAGCACCAAGAAGTTGATTACTGTTACTTGTTTAATTTGTATACTGTCAATAACAAAATGAGGCATGTTAATTTGTCCGTAACAATTGGAATCCTGAAATTCTAATTGTTACGGACAAAGTTAATATAAATAAAATAGTTTGATTATGGAAAAAAGCTACAGATATTGTTAACAGATTTGTTAACTTTAGGTCCAACACTGAGACCATTTCTAAGTTTAACTCTAATCTGGACAAGCTATTTTCTATAGTGAAGTGCAAGTGTGACATTGTTTTTTTTGAGGAGCCAAGTTGTAGTACATGTGTTTTTAAGGCTC